TTCCCGCCGGCCCTTCCGTCAGAGCCGGGCTGTGGCGCTGAGCAGGGCCCGGCGGCAGACCTGACGCTCGTATGGTCTTTGGCGGGGGCAGGGAAGGCTCCTCTCGCGACAGAGACTGCAGCACCCGCCTCTCGTACCTTCTGTGGGCGTGAGCGTGGCCGTGGGTCTCGCCGCCGAAGTGACGTGTGATGGGGAAATCCCATTAAATATTTAAACAAAACCGTACAAAGCCAACTAACGTGAACTGCAGAATGTATCAGTTGTTTGAAAGCTCATAGTCTGACTTCAATTTCCGTTTAGTTGTAGAATGGGGAATAGCCTGCCTCCTCCCGCAGGACTGTCCAGTGATGCCGCTGTGAACCAAATACAGGTAACGGTGTGCATCCACTTCTGACTTTCAGCATGGCTAGTTTAAAGCTCTTCGGATTTACACGAAGAAGTGCGCTAAGTAGTTCTGCATGTTGAACCAGATTTTAACGTTTGTTAAGTAATATTGACAGCGGTGTTTATCCACAGTCCTGGAACTTGATCTTCCTAGGCTGCATCCATTTTACGGGTTTTTCAGACATAAATTCAGTACTGCTATCAATACTGGGGATTAAACCTTGTGAAATTACTGATACCAATATTTAAAGAGTAAATTTTTTAAAGTAATTTTACTGATACTAAACGACAGTTTGAAATCACTTTGAATTTACAGTTAATATGGGTATTTATTTCTTGCACTCAGAACCTGTTTTGTTACTCTGCTTGTCACTAGCAGGTCACGTGTGCCTTACAGACAGAGAAAGGTGTACTAAGTAATTCAAGGATATACAGCTTGTTTGGCAGACTGTAGGTCTGTGACTGCAAAGCAGAAGAGGGTGCAGGGTTGACACCATTGTGTGCCAGTCACACCACACGCTCCACAATCATTCTGCTCAGTTTTGGACCCAAGTGCGGGTGTCGCAGAGCTTCATAGGTACCAGCACCATTCCTGGTAGATTGTTAATGCTAACTGTCCTCCATCTCTCTGCTTCCACAAGAACAACAATCACAGCATTCCCAAAAAGGTAGATACTGCTAAGTTTTAACTGATTCCAGGTATTCTACTCAAAGAATAGAGCATACCTTTTACTGAAGCTTAAGTGGAGCAGGAGGAGCCACTTATCTTCCATGTATTCTGCAAACCGCTGTACTTGGCACACCGATGCTCTTTGGGATCTGGTGAAGTGCTACTGCAGTTTTTTTCTTTGAGGTTGAGAGTCCAACTACTTTCTTGGTAGTCAGGTGGGAAGCAACTTTTGTTCTGATGTGGAAGTATGGAATGCGTCCTTAGCGGAGGTGCTAGGCCACCATAAAGGCCTTCGGAACAAGTGTGAGGTGGGTATGTTTTGCAGTCTCCATACAGGTGAGGATATCTTGACAGATTCAGTGATGGAAGTCACTGTTCTGCTCCCTGTTTTTAAAGTAGTTAATTCCTCATTAAGATTCTGGTGGCTCTGGATTAGAAGCAGAGAAAATTTAGAAGCTAAACTAGCTTTTCACTTTCCCTTAAACGCTGTACTTTATTCCCACTTTTATTGGAAGAATCTTCAGAAGTAGCCAGCCATTGCTGTAGCGTGGCTGGGAAGTCCTCAGTTGTTGCTTAAGAATACCTCAGAAAGCCTTTTACAGAGAGTAATTTTCTGTACTCATTACCATACTACATGTTTTTTAACTTAGCTATTTGTTTTCATGACTGTTTGATAGTGTTAAAATACACCGACCAAAAATCAAAGCACGCTGACTTTTAACATTCTTTCGAACATACAGGAGATTATTTCAGACAATTGTGTGGTGATTTTCTCTAAAACAACATGCTTCTACTGCAAAATGGCAAAAAAACTCTTTGAGGATATGAATGTAAACTATACAGCTGTGGAACTGGACATGGATACAAATGGAAGTCAGTTCCAAGACATTCTTGAACGGATGACCGGTGGCAGAACAGTTAAGTATACATTTTATATGTAACAAGCAAGGAAGGCACACACTATACATGTTCCTTGTGGGTTATGACCATCTCAAGTTCTTCATCTTTTTGAGACAATAAACTTGGGATACAAGCTCCTAAATTAGAGACAAGGCACTGCAGAAGGTACCCTCTCTTCCTCTTGAGACCCTCTGGATACCCCTCTGAGGTGATGTTTTCCATACTGTCACAAAGGTAATTGAAGTATCAAAGTCAGTTTTTATTTGTATAGGCATATTCACTCCACTGTCCAATTACTGCCTATCTTGTAATTTCTTAATTTTATATAGTCTCACTTGACTCAACTATTTTAGTTTATTAGTATCCCATGCAGTGACTTTACAGAACTTTTGAGGCGTACATGAACAGTTTCCCATCTCTAAATATTTTGGAAACTTACGTGTTAAGCATACGTATTTACTATTACTCTACAAAAACATAACTACTGCCTGTATACAACAGTACATCTGGGCTTGCATAGATTTTTGTCTTTTTCTTCCCAAGAAATAATGCCATGTTCATTTTCTTGATAGGTCCCAAGAGTGTTTGTCAATGGGACTTTTGTTGGAGGTGCTACAGATACTCAAAGGCTTCATGAGGAAGGCAAACTGCTTCCATTATTGCATCAGTGTCAAGCGAAAAGAAAAACCTGAACAGCCAATCAAGGTTGGCTTAGTCTTCCTTAGTATCAACAGAATTTCATAAAGATCACAAAGATGTACTGCATCAGCTGGACTCAGCTTCATGCCATGGATTTCTGAATCATAGACTGTTCTCTGCCACAGACTTCATGGACTTGACAAATTATCTGGTGGCCTTGCCTCAGCTTTACTACAACCAAAACAGTGATTAAAAAAATCATGTTATTCTTGACGTCACTATCTCAGCTTAGAACATCATTTGATTGCTGTTACATCAAGATACTATGCTTGAGAAATACAGACTGTACAAGAATAATCCTGTGGTTTTTTTTTTTTCTGTAAAGTAGATTTCTTTCTAGCTTTGTTCCAGCAGTTTAAATAAATGGTCAGTTTAATTTAATGGTTCCTTTAAATTTAATTTTTATCTGCATGTGAAGTTGTGAAATAATGAAGAAAGTATGAAACAAAACAAGCTTGTAGCAATATTGCTGTATGCATGGCTGCCTCTTACATTTCGGTGTCAGATCACCTAGCTACCAAATTGGATGTCCAGCTGCTACAGAAAAGAGAAGAAATATTCTTGCAGCTTGAGAGGGGTAGGTAATTGTTTTCATCTTTATTTTGCACTATGAACAGTGTCACTCAGGACTATCCTGAAGAGCCAGACAGCTTGCTGCCACTCAACTGTGCAGCTACAAACTACATTACTATCAATCCAACACTGTTATGAAATTTAAGGCCAAGTAAAATAGGTTTAATATCCACAGAGTTTATTTCATACCGAAATTCTACAGTCAGAATGCAGTTTACTAGCAATTTTAAGTTGTAGTTAAGAGTCTAAAAGAAATGTCTAAAATTCAATAGCTTCAGTACAATGTACATACAAAGCCAGACCAGTTGATGTCAAGAATTGGTTATTTCATATGCTAGAAGAAAATCATATGCCATTCTTCTGTAAAAGGGACTATTACACTAGTAAAGGCGCACAGTTTAGAATAAAAACATTGGTCAATTTTTATGCACTTGCGAGTTTCTTTGTTAATCTCTTGTAATTTCCATTGCTTTCAGGACTAGGACTGCAGGAGTATCACTTCAGTTTGACAAAAGCTTCACTTCTGCAATGCTGGTTTCAAGTAAATTTTAAATCACATCATTTGTAGTAAGTCTTTCGATATGCACTGTGCATCCTTAACATGTGTAATGAGCTAATTAAACACACTGACCTCATTAAACTCTTATTGTGCCTTACTGTATTTCACTAGTTTCATCACTGCCTCATAAACACTTTGTTTACAAAGTCACATTCATGAAGGTAAACACACAAATCTGCATCTCCCTGAATTTATAGTTAATAAAACAATTTATTGTGCACATACAGTGGTAACCAAGTATTCTCTGTGTAGAATTCTTAGGCCAGTTATGCTTTCTCAGAGTATTAACAATAATTTTGCCCCTGAAACCTGGTAAATCCATCATGTAAAAATGATATAGTATGCAAAGGATTTTTTCCAGAGACCTCTTCATTTTGTTCCCTGTTTAAAAAAAAAAAAAAAAAAGCTCAAACAGTCGTCTAAAATAACCCTTTGAGTTCTAAGTTACAGAAATCCCAGGGCACTGTCACTTAAGTCAATAATCTATTCCAACAGTTGAAAAAACATGCTGTATGCCTGCAGATCCACGTGAGTGCCCGTTTATTAAAATATGTATTTAAGGCACTCAAAGGGTTGTTTGTTTTAACCATATTAAGGCTCCCCATCCAAACAGTTTCTCAATAATTTTGTATCATTTTGTAGAAAGGAGCAGTGAAACAGTGCCTTCATTTCTGGATGGCACAAAGCCATGTTATGTTTAAGCTATTTAAACACAATATGGCAGTTAAAAGTGTGGTTCTACTCTAGGAAAAAAAAAGAGGGATTCAAAGTCATTAAAAATTTCCATATTTTTGCTTAGAATTATCTCCAGGACAAAGCTGTTTATCTTAAAATAATGCTTGCCCTGGAACCAAACGTTAAAAGTTACCCACTAAAGTTTCTGTACTCATCCAACCTAAATACCATGGCTCCTAAGTAGTGTAAGAAGCTGAAAACAAACATCAAGTTATTTCACTAAGCAGACAGCGCCATGAATATGCCCATCTGTTCCTTCTTTATACAGAACTATTTCTGAAGAGTAGAACTTTTTATAGGACATTGTAATAGAGAAGACACTTTATTTGTAACGAGTTGTGCTTAACTCTAAGCTGGTAACATAAGGAAAACAGCTATCTATATTCATTATTTGTCAGTGAAACATTTGTAAGTTCTTAACATACCACATACATACATGCAAATGTACATATATATTTAAACTTAAATTCAAAATGCAGAAATAGCTAAAGAAAACAAGCTTTACAGTATAAAAATTATAAATCCAAATGTGAGCACACACATTTAAAGACACCATGCCTTCTGCTGAAATTAGCTAATCTTAAATTTAAGCTCTCAGAGCAGCACATACGTAATACACTGTCCTAGTGTTTTACCTTTTCCCCCATAACTCTTACTCAGCAGTGCTGTATGCTATAATGTATCACGGTAAGATGAAACCTCTGCCATTCCAGCAATAAAGTCATTGAAACAGCTTACTTGCAGTATATTTGTCCACCCCAAACCACTGAAAAAAGCCAAATAATCCTATTAACTGATGAAATGCTTAAAAAAATATGTAAAGGGCAAGCAACACAAATGAGTCTTTGCTTAGGCTTACTTCTACATCCTGTTCTTTGAACATTTTCTCTAATCAATACTTAAAAAAAGCTGCCGATTTATCCAGAATATTAATTTTTTTCCCTCATTCTGCATGTAACAGCAGCTGGGGAATATTTAACAGAAAGGAAAGCGCTAACCCACTGAAGTAGTTCTAGAAAGAAGCTTTAAATTTGAAAAGCAATTTTTAAGCAGTTATTTTATAAAAATAAACAGAGGCAGATATTGTTGTAAATGAACAAATTATACTTTTGTCACTCATCTTTACACAACTTTTACCAAAAGTCTGATAGATACTGCAAATTAAATGTTTTAAGAGATTTATATAATCAAAGGAAAGAAAAAAAATACTCTTTTTTAAAATTAAGATAAATACTATCACATCCGTTCCAGTATAAGTTACTTCGCTAAGCTAGCATGTTCAGAGACAGCAAGAAGGCAGAAGAACAGAGGCAAAAAGGAATGGACGAGAGCTTACAGTAAAAAGATTCAAGTACAGGCGTGAGGTGACAAGGAGATAGGAAAGGAAGAAAAACAGTCAACAGACAAGAGGAAGGGCAAAGCAAAAAAGTAATAAAAGGAACAAAATAAATGAAACGAGTACTAATGCTTTTGGTGTGCAGCGCACCATTTTCTGATTGAGAAAAGTATTTTCCTAGTGTATTTTACAGAGCCATTTTATAATACATTTCCAAAAGTACTCATTTAGTTGTTTGGTTTTTGGTTTGGTTTTTTTACGCCAAGAATATATACTTCATTGAATAGCCTTTTAAAGCCATACCCTTTTATGCACTCCAATTGAACAATAACAACAAAAAGGAACAATGCTCCCTCCCCTCCGCTAGTGGATATAGACCAGTTGGAGCAAGTCCAGAGGAGGCCACGAAGATGCTCAGAGGGCTGGAGCACCTCTGCTATGGGGACAGGCTGAGAGAGTTGGGCTTGTTCAGCCTGGAGAAGGTTCTGGAGAGACCTTATAGCACATTCCTGTACCTGAAGGGGCTACAAGGCAGCTGGGGGGGACTTTTTACAAGAGCCTGTAGTGACAGGATGAGGGGTAACAGGTTTAAATTGAAAGTGGGGAGGTTTAGATTAGGTATCAGGAAGAAGTTCTTCCCAGATAAGGTGGTGAGGCACTGGAACAGGTTGCCCAGAGAAGCTGTGGATGCCCCATCCCTGGAAATGTTCAAGGCCAGGCTGGATGAGGCTTTGAGCAACCTGGTCTAGTGGAAGGTGTCCCAGCCCATGACAGGGGAGGGGGAATTAGATGATCTTTAAGGTCCCTTCCAACCCAAACCATTCTGTGATTCTATGAACTGTGGTTTTAAGCAGAAAGGTATTGTAGGGCCAGATAGTGATTGCCCTCACACAACGGGCATTTAGACTGGCCCTGCTGACTTCAGATCTACACCTACTTTTAGACTTCTCTTTCTCTAAACACATAGGACTGTAGGTAAAGACCCCATATTTTGCCTGTAATCTAGTTCTACAAAAATCCCAAACTCTCCTCCTCCTCGCTACAGGTCTAAAATTCCTGACATGAAATTCAATTTCTTGGAAAAATTATTGTCTTTATTCAGTTCATTCTGCTTTCTCCACATTCTTGATTGTATCCCTTCCATAAAGAAACCTGACCTTTGATGTTACTTCCTTACAGAAGAATGTTTTAGCTCTGCTGTGCTTGCAACCATTACATCCTTTTCTTCTTTCTTAAAGCTAAAGTGCCTGAACATTATATTCTTAGGCATAATAGTCTTAAGAATTGTTACGAGGGTCGCAGTGACATGGCAGTCAAAGTGAAAGCCTGTTAATTCTGTTAGATAACAGGACACCTGCATTCACCCAGTCTACAGCTGCACGCTGCATTTAGACTTTGTTTTGATGTTTCGAATAAACTTAATTATCTTTAAAATTAACCCTGTTCAATTTTTCCTGGTAAACTGCAGCACACAATTACAGCCCTGTTTTTGTTTCTCCAATGCAAACAACACAATTAACTTGAAAGGGTCAGTGTCTCCTCTTTGGTGAAAGGATAGGTTATCTATTGTACACTGAACTAATGCTTAAGCTTAGCAACTTTGTCTTAGCTCACTTACTTTATTTAAAAAGCCAACATCGCAGTAATTATTGCCTCTTCACATGTCCAGACATAATTTTGGAAACTATCAGTTTAACAATTAAAGGCTAAAATCAGGACAAATTTATGTTACGGCAAATGAGTCATATTGTTCCCTAAAATTCAGTATATGGGCTGATAGAAAAGATCCA